GATTGTCTTTAAATGTATGGTTTAAGTTTCCACATCCATTTTTTGTTGTTATTCATATTAGTCCAATAAGAATTAATCACTCTTCATTTTCCCAGGTTGATCAAAATGAAAAGAGTAAATTAATTTCGACATGCAAGTATTTTTGTGACACAACATATTTGTTACCTTATTCAACTTTCATGAACTTGCCAGAAGGTTATCATTCTCCTTTTGTTTGATGTCGATGAATTGGTTTCTACTTCATTTGCAAGGCATATTTGTGTTCACATGTTATTTTCTGTTAAAATTTCAGAAAATATACAGACGGGAAGTGATGACTCAACAATTTCTAGTGAGGCTGATGTGGACCGAGCTTGTGAGGTTAACTCCGAAGGTGCTGATGTGGACAAAGCTTGTCAGGTTAATTCCAAAGTTGCCCAACTCTGCCCTGTTAGAGAGTGTGGCAAACCAGAAGTCACATTGCTTGACCTATATTCTGGCTGTGGAGCAATGTCAACTGGGTTGTGCCTTGGTGCACAATTGTCTAATGTAAATCTGGTTACAGTAAGTCCAATTTCCTTGATTAATATCTTGTAAAATTTTCAACATTAGTTCACCAATAATCATGGAGAACCGATAGCTGAATATAACTCAACTTGTTAGATGTTGTACACAATGAAGTCCGCATACATGTGAGAGGATGAGGTTGACAAAGTTTAAGTTGCCACATTATTAGCAAATGAGAATCTACAAAATGTATGCAAAATATTAATTCCATCCATCCATTTATAATTTCTCGTTAATATCTTTAATTTCTTGTTGAAATCTTTTAGAGATGGGCTGTTGACGTAAATGAGTATGCTTGCCAAAGTCTCAAGCTTAACCACCCAGAGACAGAGGTACGTGTTTGTAGCTTACTTTTTCCCTCCTTTTGATGTGGTGCTTTGCACGCTTAACTTGTCTAATTCACATACCATAACAGGTTAGAAATGAATCCGCCGAAGATTTTCTCTCATTGCTGAAGGAGTGGAGAAAACTTTGCTTTTATTTTAACTTGGTTGAGACCAAGGACTCAGAGAATGATCAGTTTGACTTTTTTGAAACGGAAGATGAAGAGGAGGAAGAAGATGGTGATAGTGGAAATGATGAGAATGATAGTGATGATCCTGAATTTGAAGTTGATTACGTACTAGAAGTATGTTATGGTGACCCCAACAAGATAAACAAGAGAGGATTGTACTTTAAGGTATGGAAATAATTTGTAGTCTTATGTTATTTTGTTTTTGGCCATAGCAGCAGTTGTTTATAAATGAGTGAAGCTTTTCAGTTATGGTTTAATCCTCAAGTTCATAGTCTCTGCTTGGCCTTTATACAAACACGAGGCGTGAAGTGTGGGTTCAATTCTCTCTCTCTCTCTCTCTCTCTCGCATAAAAAACAACTTATTGACACTGAAACGGCACGGGTTTCATTGTATGATATGGAAAATGGAAAGATAATCTAAAAGTACTAGCTGTTCACTGATAAAAAAGATGCTCGAAATTTTCCATCGTAAGTATGTTAGAAAGTCTTCATTAATGGATATATCTTAAATGGGAATACAAAACTGTGTTTCATAAGTTGCTACTGTGTGTACCCTTTAACAATGCAATCTCTGCTTCCGTGTGCCTTTCAGATTTATCAGAAAATTGCAGGTAACCAAGCAAGTAGTTTTTCACTATATAATATTATTTGATTTCTGATGTATTACACAGATCCGTTGGAAGGGGTATGGGGATGACGAAGACACCTGGGAGCCAATTGATGGACTGGGGTATGCAACTATCTTGAATTATGCTTGCAGTATTAATATCTGCCACCTGTTTGTGAGCATGTATGTGATACCTTCTGGCATGTTTAGTTGTGTCCTAAAGCATTGCAATGCATATCTTTCTGTCAAGCAGGCATTGTAGGAAGGCTATAGGAGACTTTGTTTCTCAACGTTATGCATCAAAAGCATTTCCTCTACCCGTAAGTTTTTAATTTTCCCCTAACCTTAAATTTAGAATTTGCAGAATTTAAATATAAATTATTGTCATTGACGCTTCATTTAATATTGTTCTGGACATTCTTCATGTAGGGTGATGTTGATGTGGTGTGTGGGGGGCCCCCTTGCCAAGGAATTAGTGGTTTCAACAGATTTAGGAACACACAACAACCGTTAGAAGATGAGAAAAATAAACAATTGATTGTTTTCATGGATTTCGTACAGTACCTTAACCCAAAATTCGTTTTGATGGAAAATGTGGTTGATATTGTAAAATTTTCTGAGGGACTCCTTGGACGTTATGCCTTGGGACGTCTTGTTGGTATGAACTATCAAGCTAGGATGGGAATGATGGCAGCAGGTGCATATGGGCTTCCCCAGTTTCGTATGCGTATGTTTATGTGGGGGGCCCGTCCTACTGAGGTATATTAGTTGAAGTATTTAACTTTTACTAATACTGTGCTGGTTTTATCTCATGGCCTAAGGAATTGCTTGATTTTTGCAGAGGTTGCCTCAGTACCCACTTCCTACACATGATGTTGTTGTAAGGGGTGTTATTCCCACGCAATTTGAGGTATGATAAATGCTAAAGTTCTATGTTGTTTATGGTCGTTTTGTATTAAACAATGTGTAATAAATGCAGGGGAACACTGTTGCTTATGATGAAGGTGGCCCGGTTCAATTAGAAAGAAAGCTTTTGTTGGAGGATGCAATATCTGACCTTCCTGCTGTAAAGTCTTCTAATTGTTACTGTTGGGTGTGGTTTACTTTTTCTTCTACCTTTATCAATGCATATTTATCTACCTCGTTTGTATGTAGGTTGAGAATAGTGAAAACCGGGATGAGATGCCATTTGCAGGGCCTCCCCAGACAGAATTTCAGAGGTTTATCAGACTAAGCAAAGAATGTAAGATGCTGCATTGGTTTTGAACTTTTGATATGTCACTGATTTGAAACACACTTGTTGAGTTCAACTTCATGTAGCTACTTCCCTTTTGTTTTCTTGCTTTGGTAGCATGATGTGTAGCTTATTGGAGTTGTGACAATATGGACCTCTCTGTTTTGTTTTCCTTCAACGAGTAGTTTGATACTTCGCTGGGTTTGCTGGCCTGTTTGAAGGATGCGGGACACTTTGATATTGTAACAATGTGAAAATGGAATGAGCTAATTGCTGTTGTCTGATTCTATTGTTACTTTGATATTGAGTAATACAGAAACTGAACTCAGCCGGTTACATCTGCGTGATTATATACTGTATATAGAAGTTGATTAAATCAGGAAAATAAACAACTCAATATGTCTCATTCAGTTAAATATAAGCCTAGCATGTTTCAGCCATTGCTAAAATGGTTATGGTCACACATATGCTTGTAATGAAGTAGCAGTAGATTCTTAAAAATCTATCTGGTAAGAGTTATGTGTTTGTTGAGAAAACTATAATTTCTGTTTGATTGCTGTTCTGGATACAGATTTGCTGGGGTCTTCAAAGGATGAATCATTACACAAGACGCTTTACGATCACCGTCCCCTAGAGTTGAATGCAGATGATTATGCACGTGTTTGTGAAATCCCGAAGAGAAAGGTTCCTTTCTTTATTATTAAATGCATGTTGGCATGTATTCCTTTGTCATTGATAGAATCCTGCAATCTTGATGTCGGCTTATAAGTTTAATATTTTATGAACTAGGGTGCAAACTTCAGAGATCTACCCGGTGTTCGTGTGCGCGCTGATAACAAGGTTGAGTGGGATCCTGATGTAGAACGAGTGTATTTGAAGTCCGGGAAACCTTTGGTAAAAACACATCTTTTCTGCTGCTGCTTTTGTTTTCCTGCAACTTTACTATGTGAATCTCACTCATGACATTGTAATGATAGGTCCCTGATTACGCTATGAGTTTTGTGAAGGGGTCTTCATCAAAGTAAGTCTTAGTGCCTTTTTTTTGGGTTTGGGTTGCATGGTTCAATCACTCAACATAAATTTTGAAATATTCTATTGCAACTCTGTCAAATTATGCAGACCTTTTGCCCGTTTATGGTGGGATGAAACCGTACCAACAGTTGTTACTAGAGCTGAGCCCCATAACCAGGTATATGCGTACTTACATACAAAAAGATAAATGTTGTCAGACAAAAATCAGAAAAGACAACGAGTTGAACACATTTTCCTTTACTTCTTTACAGGCAATTTTGCATCCTGTTCAAGACAGGGTATTGTCAATTCGTGAAAATGCAAGACTTCAAGGTTTCCCAGATTACTACAAACTTTGTGGCCCTGTCAAGGAGAGGTACCCTATATTTTTATACTTCAGTTCTGTCATCTCTTGTTATATCAAAATCTACAGGTGATTTTATGTCTTCATGGTTGCATTGTTTCAGATACATTCAAGTTGGAAATGCCGTTGCCGTTCCAGTTGCACGTGCATTGGGCTATGCGCTAGGTCTTGCTTTGAAAGGTTCTGCTGGTGTTGACCCCGTGTTTCCATTGCCGGAAAAATTCCCCAATATTCAGTGCCAGATTCATTCTGCATCATCCGAAGATGATGCTTGATTATTGTTGTAATAACTCGATTTGTTAAAGATTTGATGAGGGTGGATTATTATTTGTTCCATAATGGGGAACATTATTATGTTAAATGAATTTCAAGTGTTCGTCATTATTATGCTAAAAAAAATTGTAAAAGTACCCAAAGCATATATTGATTGTGCACCATTATAATGAAACTCAAGCTCAATGCATCAAATCCTCTGGTTCTCCTTTTGTTTGTTGTTTGTTAATTCATCAATTTTCCCTTTTTTCTTTTTCGTGTCGAAATCAATCAGTATAAGAACAAAAACAATATGAACATAGAGTTTTGCTTTACGTACATATTTAGTAATGCTACCCAACGACGGTTCAAAATCAACATGCATAAAAAAAAATCTAGGTTTTGCCCAACAAAAATTAAATGGCAATTAACACTGGACTTAAGAAGAGCTTTTTCACCCATAAATTTTAAAAAGAAGAAAAAAACTTAACATCATTCAACATTCATCATTCATTCACCATGAAAGTACAATTTCATTCTCCATAAGAGTAGAGTAACAACAACAGCTCAACTCATTTTGGATGGAGGAATTTTTGATCTGTTAATAGGAAATGGAGGCAACCGAAGCACAGCTTCCTCTGTCTCAATCGGATCAGACCTCAGTATCTACCAACAACAAAAGCAAAAAAAAAGTGCAATTAATAAAAATCAAACCCAGAAAAGAATAACCTTCACGTTTGTATTGTGTGGAGAGAGAGAGAAAGAGAGAGAGAGAGAACTGACTGGGTCTTGAAGCACAGGTTTGGTGTCGTCTTTGGCTGGTACGAAGGGAGGCTTTGTGAGCTTGGCAGCATTATTATTGTTGCTGGGTTTCATTGAGGAGATTTCAGAGTCCGAGTCTTTCATCGTCTCCTCTTTCTCTCTCTCTCGCTTTCGAATTTCACTTGTGTCTATGCGTTTACTCTCTTCTTGCTTCTTGCCTCAACTGCGAAGGTAGAAGAATTGGAAAAAAAGAATGGGCTTTTTAGATTTTTCGGGGTCAAGTAATGGGCTTTTTAGATAGAGGGCCCAAATGTGGCTCGTTTTTTATTATTTTTTATTTCCTCAAAGCAAAAAGAGAATTGCAACGAATCATCCTTCGAATTCCGAATATCAAAATTGAGTTTGAAGGGAAGATTACATTGATTAAAAAAATAAAATATTAACAATAACGCAACATACACAAAAATAAAATAAAATTTGGTAAGGACATCCTTGACAAACATTTTCTCCTTTTGAAGTCCATTTGCCCTGTTGCTTTCGGAAATTCTCGTAGTCTAGCAAATCCTGCACCGGAGAAGCAATGGAAAACGGAATCTTAAAGAGTTTCTAGTCTTGGTCTTAGGGCCAAATAAGAAATAAAATATGAAAGAATTCTTTCTTCAAGAATATACATATAAAACAATGACAAAATTGATCCATCTATATATATATATATACCTCGTCGCTTAGAGAGGGTGTGATTTTCGCCAGTGCTTGCTCAAAGTGAGTTCCTTTGATTATGCATGGAGATGAACCCCAACTCGCAAGTGACGTTAGTTTCTCTTCAACAGCAGCCATAGCAGCTTCATGCATCTTGCATCAGCAGATTGATGAACAGATATGTCAGAGAATCCCAGTCACAAACCTATATCCTTCCAATTCTTCTCAATAATCAAGTGTTATATAATAAAAAGCATAACATATGTATTCAAGTATAGCCCTACCAGTGCAGCAAGATCAGCTCTAGTAAATTTTTCACAAGCGCTTCTTTGTCCAATCTCACTTAGATTTACACTGGGATCTATAGGCTTGTTGCTTGCAAGAGCTTTTAAGATGAAGCCACGCTCATCTTTATTGGGCAGGGGGCCATACATATGCTTACCAAATCTTCCGGGTCGTAAGACGGCAGGGTCCATTTGATCCGGTCTGCCAAACACGTCAATTTGTAGGAAATGTATAATCATAATCATCATTAAAACTGAAGAAGAATGAACAATGAGGTTTACCTATTAGTGGCACCAATTACAATTACACCCTTCCGCTTCTCTCCACTGTCCAACTCTACAAGTAACTGCAATTGTAAGCAGTACTCTCAGTTGATTTTATACATGGATGAATAACATATGAGTGAGTGTGTGCATTGTAGATGGATGAACTTCGAACCGGTCAAAGCCTGCCTTTTTCCAGATTGGTTTACCTGGTTCAATAGAATCTCAACAATCTCTACTCCTTGTTCCCCTCGGTTTCTTGTCAAAGCATCCACCTGCCAATAATTCACACAGAGAAACTTGAAAAGAGTTATGATTTTGTAGGGCACTCCATGTCCAACAGTTTAATGTATTGAGAACGGATGCAGCATAATCAAGATATTATTATTATTATTTGCAAAACAAATTATGGAAATCTATAAAGGGGATAGCAGGAAGAACAACTGTGGAGAAGATAGAACCACAAACCTCATCAAAGAAAAGTATGCATGGTGTGCACGCCCTTGCACGACTAAACAATGTCCGAACTGCCTTCTCACTTTCTTCCCACTTTTTATTCAGAAGTTCAGGGCCCTAACCAATTACCAAAGGCCATGCGAAATCAAACAGATTTTGTCAAATTATGTAAAAACATACGTTGATTGAAATGTTTATTTTCCAGGGACAAAACAAAAATAACACAAACCTTACTGTGAATGAAGTCAGCTCCTGCCTCATTAGCAACAGCCTTCGCGATCAATGTTTTACCGCACCCTGGAGGCCCATAGAGCAGAAAACCTGTCTCTAGCTTCATTCCAAATTCCTGAATTACTAACCATTCCAAGGCACAAATCAGCTTTCTTCCACAAACACACACACACACACACACACACACACATAGGGGAGATATAGAGAGAGGCAGAGTAAGAGATTTTGAGAAAAACATAAAACGTAAAGTGCAGATACTGGTTGGTTACCTCATAGAACTCAGGATACTTAATACGATTGACTATATGAAGATTAAGTTCGTGCCTCAAAGCATCACCACCAACATCTGCCCATTTCACATCAGGAATTGCAGAGAATTCTTGTCTTTTTACCGACGGCGGATCCTCTTGAACTGCTTTCTGCGGAAGAATGCAGCATAATAGCGCTCATCAGCTTGACAGATTTTATAAGCAAGGTTGTTTTGAACTTTAGAGTCGCTTTCAATATTTGGCCAATTGAAATAGTTCAAGTCCCAAATTTTCCAAAAAATTAGTTTAGGGACAAATTGACAGTGACCCTAAAGTTCAGAGAACAAATTTTAGACTAACTGCACTATATACATGCACATACAATGACATTGATAAACTACGGAAATAACTCAAATATTAGGATACTTACGCAGAAGTGAGTAAAAACATGCATATGCAAGTGAAAACATGCATTTTAAAAGGGAGCAAAAGTAAGAAATTAACTAATTCCAAATAACCTGAAAATCAGCCGTGAGCTTTTCTTTTTCTTTTTCTTTTTCCAAAGAAGCATCTATGTCATGGTCATTTTCATTTCTAGATAAAGGCTTCATGAAGGATGCCAAACGATTATGAAAAAGTAGGGGTGAGGACGATTGGATCGATCTTGTCCCTGAACTGCAGACCGCACCGTTGAAGAAACACTGTGTGGTTCGGTTCACTGTTGGCCTTAAACCGGCGGAGAAACCGAACTGACCCCATCAGCGTTTGGCCAGAGAAAGAGGAAGTCTCATAACAGATGCAAGTCAAGTCAAGAGAAAGAGGCAGAATTCAAGCTACACACTCTAAACAAAATCCCAGAATTCGAAACAACTGTCTATCGAATCCCAGCAATACAGTCTGTCTTCCACTTTGGTTTTGATTTTGTTCTGAGAAAGTCCGAGTCTGAGACCTCCCATCCCATCCTCTTCGTCTCTCCCCCTTTTTTTGTTTTTTATTTTCATAAAATCACAATTCTTCTTCACTCACAATTCTTCTTTACTCTCAAACATTGGTTTTTATTTATTTATTGTGCCTTCCTATCTTTTGTGATCAACAAAATGAGTAGAATCATATTTCCTCCGAATTTAAATATCTTTATGTCTATTTGTTTGAAAAAAAAAATCTAAAACATACAAAATTAATTTTATAAAATTAACACAAAAACAAATTAAGACAATAAAATCAAATATACATCTTTAGATTTACATCTTCCTCATTGGAGCAAAAATCGCATTTACAACATCCGGAGGTGTAAAGGGAATGTAACAGTAGCTTTACACCATCTCCCCCCAACTAAGGAGCTAATTGTGAATGCTCTAAAGAAGCCAAAAGGGACTGATAGCGCTCAAGTCTGTTTTGAGGCTTTTTTTAGTAGTGGGGTTGTAAGCCTCTTGGCAACCTTGTTGACCAGTCCCTAAACGACACATTTACAATGAGCTTCTTAAATCACATATTTAGACAAATTTGAGGGAGGAATTGAAAAAATACAACTCCAACCATGCTTCCCACCTCCTAAAATAGAGAGACCTCCAGGAGCTCCTAAATCTGAAGAGAGAGAAATGACTCATAGTGGCTCCCTATAATTTAATGAGTATTTTAAACATTAAATTAATGCTAACTATTTTTTATATTATTTTTTAATAGAGATGGATCAATTAAAAAAGAGTTATAGCATTTATGACTTCCTAAACTAGAAAGCATGCTTGGAGTTTAAATTTTATAGAGAGCTCCTAAAATAACTTTTATATATTTTTAGGTAAAATTTAACCAAAAAATAGAGAATGATTATGGATGTTCTAAGAAAGGGAGATGGTGAGTAATAAGAAAAGGACACATAATAAATAATCCGGCGCTGCGCAGTGACCAAAAACAAAAGAATCAAGAAAAAGAGACAATATTCTGGTGCCGAGCATTTACCTAAACCCTAAACCCAAAAAAAATAAAATGATACAGAAACAAGAAAGAAAATAGAGAGACGCGTGCTGGTGCGAAGAAAGTGCCAAAAAATCTATATGACGTCTTACATTCGTGTATATATTGTTCTCTTACAGACTTAATTGAAGCCAAGCCATCATCTCTCTCCCCTTCCACTCTCTCTCTCCTCCCTGGTCTACATGATCCATTGCAGAACAAAGAAAGTCACATGATTATTGGCCAAGAGAAACATGAGGGCAGATATGGTGTCCGAAATTTCGTCTTTTGGAAACAATAAAAAACAAGGAACAAAAGATTCCTGATGCTAGTCACAAAAATAGTAACCTGTCGTATTCACTAAAGTAGTCACTAAGTACTAATCACAAAAATAGTAACCTGTCGTATTCACTAAAGTAGTCACTAGATACTAATCACAAACATAGTAACCTGAGTATTCACTAGATGCTTGTCACAAAAATAGTAACCCGTGTCTACACTATATTGTGTGTGAAAACTAAAGCTCCCAAGCACGAACCAAACAAAACAGAGGACACGTGTTATACCGAAGCCTACAATATTCCACAGCTATATATAGTCCTCTTAACGAAGCCGAGGCAAGGCATCTCTCTTCTTGCATTCTCTCTCCCCTCCCTGGTCTACCTACAATATCCCACAGCCATTGCAGAAAAATGAGAAATACTTCCACTGATTCTTCTTCTTCTTATTATCAGTCCCTAAAGGCATTCCTCCAGAAAATAATACTAATTATTAGCCCCAGTTTTGATCATCACCATGATGATGTTGTTTATGACCCAGAAAGTACTTCAGCTGCCCCCGAAGCCGAACCACAACCATCTGTACCAGCACCAGCAGCTAGGCCTGAGCCAACTACGTACCAAAACTTAGATTGGGCAAAGATTATTGTGGTGTATTGCTTGTCAACAGCCGTTGCCATGGCTCTCACACCCGTCCAAGTTCACTCCAACCAGCTCCCTTTAACCTTTCGATTTCTCGGACTCACGGTTCTGTTTTCCTTTGCTTGCATCATGGTAAGCAAATTTATTCACAACAACAACTGTCCAAGAATAACAGTTGAGCTCTTCCATTCTTTTGGGGTCTTTTTTGGAATCACGGCCTTCTTCATTTGCATTACAATCCCATTTCCTTTCTGGTTCAAATGTACTGCCTCTGTCATCTATGTGGTCTCAGGCCTTGTAATCATGTTTTGTAACTACTTCTATAATTAATTATAGGTATTATACTTATTATTACTAGCCCCTGTGCCAATTGATTTTTTTTTTCTTTTCTTTTTTGAATTAAGAAAGATAAAATGGGTATTTGTGTCCCATTATCTGATTTTGTTTGTAATTTTTTTTTTAATATAAAAAAGTATAAATTTAACATATTGTCCTCACTTAATTAATAATTTGAATCCTTAATATTTATATTAACCAAAAAAATATTACGTTATTTTGAATATTTAATGTTTGTTGCTTAAATATATAGATTCAGAGCCAACAAAAAAGAAAATTGCACTAGTGCAGCAGCTCTGCTTGATTTTGGCGTCAGCAGGCCCCATTTTAGCCCAGTTGAATTGTCAAAATGCTACTTGCCAAAAGCAAAAGGTTACTCTCTCAGAGAAGGGTCCATTTTTTTAAGAGTTGAATGACACACATGGGAAGAGGGAAGAGCAGAGATCTCTAAGTCAAAGGGCGCCGAATGACATACCAAAAGCTATCAAAATTCTACCAATAAATGAAGGAAAATTGACCAAAATCATAATTTAGTCCCAATCAAATCACACAACTTCTCTCATTAATTGCTATGCTCTATGGACATCTTCCATGCCACACACGCTGGTAGCTTATGTTTCATCTTTTTGGTGCTATGAACACCTCTCCATATTTCTGCTATATATTACTATTCTCTATGGACAATATAACATCTTGGTTTCCTTTTTGAAGCCCTCTCCAAATACTCTTTGCCCTGCTTCCCGAAATAAGAGTTTCTAGTCTTAGGGCTAAATAAGAATCAAAATAATGTTGGCGAGTCCTTACTTAGTTAAGATTTTGGTTTCTTACTATATTAGGATTATATTTATGTTTTAGTAAACACGGAAAAAGTCAAGAATTAGAATAATTCCAATACTCATGCATTAGTAGTAAACACAGGAGAAGCATAAATTGAAATTCCAACATTGATAAGTAACATGTCATTAGTAGTAAAAGATGTATTAAAGATGTATTGCTTGTAGTTGTGAATATATACATACTTTTTTCTTTCCTGAAAGCAAATAGAGAATTACAACGATGATCATTTGGGATCTGATCGTTGGGATCCCTACATTCCGAATATCAAGAACATCCATAACCATATTTGCTTCTGGAAAACATGCTGGAATTGGACCTATACTTGTGTACACAAGAACCTAATATCGTTAAGCCAAACATGATTTTATTCAGGATTGCCCAATATAATTAAAAAGAAGTCGACCCAAACATGATCCATGAACGGGGTATTAAGTATTAACTATTCACTCAAATTTTCAATCAATCTTGAAGTATGAACCCCAAAAAACACAGAAAGAAAACATGCAATCATGCATCCGGTTCAAGACTGTAAAAGCTTGATCTTGAATAGTGAAAAAAGAAGGCAAAGATGTTACCAGATGCTTAGAGAAGTCACCAAGCAGGATCTTGAAAAACGATTCTTTCTTTACTGAACGCTTCATAAGTTTCCTTGCCATTTGAACCAAGTCTTCAGTCTTCAACGAAACCTCTTCAAAGATTAAAGCTTTTTAGGAGTGGATTTTCTGTGTAGCTAGCTTTTGTGGGTAAATTTTAGCCGGTCTGCCAAACACACAAGAACATGTAGGAAAATTCAGAGATGCAGAAATGCATAATCATCATCATGGTCATGAAAACTGAAGAAGAATATGGACAAGGAGTTTTACCTATTACTGGCACCAATGACAATTACACCCTTCCGCTGGTCTCCACCGTCCAACTCTACAAGTAACTGCAATTTTAAGCAGTAGTCAGTTGATTTTCTCCATACATGAACAATAGATGAGTGATTGTGTGCGCCAATGTTTATAGAATGGATGAACTTGAACGGTCGAAAACCTGCGTTTTCAGATTATTTTACCTGGCTCAATAGCAGCTCAACACTCTAAACAAAATCCCAGAATTCGAAACAACTGTCTATCGAATCCCAGCAATACAGTCTGTCTTCCACTTTGGTTTTGATTTTGTTCTGAGAAAGTCCGAGTCTGAGACCTCCCATCCCATCCTTTTCGTCTCTCCCCCTTGCTCTGTTCAAGCTCACACTCTGTTTCATAACCGCCAATTAAATTTAAGAATTGATTCCTTTATGTAGTTTTAAAAACCCAAGCGGCTATACTATTCAAATAAAAAATATACAAATTTATAAATAAACCCAATCCTAGACATGTATTTATAAAAAAACCCAAACACTATTTAAACATAGAAACACACCCAAAATCAACCCCAAAGTCAACAATTGTATATTTTTTGGGTGTGTTTATAAATGGGTTTTGAGTGTGTGTAATGATGGGTTTTGATGTGTTTATAAAGTGTTTTGGGTGTTGGATTTTTTTATAATTTCAGCTCCCATTTTGAGTGTTTTAGTGAAACTCTCTAAAAAATATATTTAAAAAGTATAGCCGGACGGCTATAATTCTTAAATAATTAACGAGTATAGCCGGACGGCTATAATTCCTGAATACATAATAATATTTAAAAGGTATAGCCGTTCGGCTATACGTCTTAAATAAAAATTAATATTTAACGCGTCTAGCAGGTCGGCTATACTGCTGAAATAGATAATCTTTAAATAGTATCGCCGTGCGGCTATACGTGTTGAATGAAAAATATATTTAAAGAGTATAGCCAAGCCGCACGGCTATACGACGTAAACAAATAATATTATTTAGAGATTATAGCCGATCGGCTATACGTTTTAATAATAATATTTTACATATTTCCTTCTCTTTCCACGGCCACCTCCAGGGCTCATCTGCTCCGAATAATCGAGCTCTCCTCTGTCAGACTGTCACTGCTCAACAGCCCCAATTCCTTTGGTAACTACTAATTGCAATCAACATAATTCCATTAGCAAATTCCATGAATTTGAGCTTAGAGCCTTCAGACCCTTGATTAATTGTATACTTGCACACCAGCACCAAGGAAAGAGATGGCCTTATTTTTGAACAAACTAGCCTCTCTGGTGCCCGGTGTCCATGCTGTCGACGTTGACCTCCCTCTTGAGATTTTGCTCAAGGATGAGCACAAGCTTGAACAGGTTGCTTTGGGTAGAGAGTTCCATATAAGTCTGGGAAGAGCTGTACCAATCCGAGTGCACCAGATTGACTCCCTGGTCACTATGCTTCGCCAGAAGCTTTAGATTCAGAGGGGGTATGAATTTTAGTTTTTTTATTGAACATAACGCTGGTTTTCCGTAAACCATTCCCCATTTTTTGGTTTCTAACACATTTTGTTATTGTAAAGTAGGTATTGGATTGATTTTAGCAAGTGGGAGGTTTTTGTTATCCATACTTTATATTCTAGTTATTTTATATTATTGTGTATGGCTTAATATGACTTTAATTTGTCCCTTATATCACTTATAGTTGTTAATATATATTTTTTTTTTTGTTTGAACCACGAGGTGGTCCTGGATGGGCCCCAACTATGGGTGGCACCTTTAAGCCTTAACCACAACCCAGACTAATCCCCGCTCACACCGGGTCGGCCCGTAAGGGGTAAAGTGCTGGCCAAAGTGGTGACTCCATACGAGAGCAGGGATCGAACCCCTGACCTTCTCTTAAGGAATGAGAGTGCCGAACCACTCACACCAACCACCTTGGTTATAGTTGTTAATATATTTATGTGTTAGTAAACACGGAGAAAGTCAAGAATTAGAATCATTTCAACTCATGTGTTAGTAAACACTGGAGATGCATGAATTGGAAAACTGATAAATAAACACGCTCTAATTCATATAATTAAAATTCTGAATTAGTAATAACAGATGTATTACTCTTTGGCCTGAGAAGCATGGACATGAGATTTTAAAACTAGTGGGTTTAGAACAACAAAAGAACAGACCTGAGTTAAAAACAAAAGCCAAACTTTTTGGCCTTAAATCCATTAGTCCTGTTTTCGCCAAAAATCTGATAGTCTTGCAAATCCTGCACCGGAGAAGCAATGGAAAATGTAAACTTATAAAGTTGGTAGCTTTTATGCCAAAGAAGAACTAAAAAAGAAACACAAGGCGAAGGAGAATCACACAGTGACAAAATTGATTCATATATACCTCGTCTGTTAGAGATGGTGTGATTTTAGCCAGTGCTTTCTCAAAGTGAGTTTCTTTGATTGTGCAGGGAGATGAATCCGAACTCGCGATTGATGTCAGTTTCTCTTCAACAGCAGCCATGGTAGCTTCATGCATCTAGCATGAACAGATTGATGAATTGATATGTTAGTTTTCCTTTTCTTCTGTATGATCAGTTACTATAGAATGAAAGGGTTAACAAAAATAGCCATACCAGTGCAGCAAGATCAGCTCCAGTAAAATTTTCGCACGCGTTTCTCAGTTCAATCTCGCTCAGATCTACACTGGAATCTATAGGCTTGTTCCTTGCAAGAGCTTTTAAGATGAAACCACGCTCATCTTTACTGGGCAGGGGAACATAAATATGCTTACCAAATCTTCTGGGTCGCAAAACAGCAGGGTCCATTACATCCGGTCTGCCAAACACACAACAACATGTAGGAAAATTCAGAGATGCAGAAATGCATAATCATCATCATCATGGTCATGAAAACTGAAGAAGAATATGGATAAGGAGTTTTACCTATTAGTGGCACACTGGCACCAACGACAATTACACCCTTCCGCTGGTCTCCACCGTCTAACTCTACAAGTAACTGCAATTTTAAGCAGTAGTCAGTTGATTTTCTCCATAGAGGAACAATAGATGAGTGATAGTGTGCGCGAATGTATATAGAATGGATGAATTTGAACAGTCGAAAACCTGCGTTTTCAGATTATTTTACCTGGTTCAATAGCAGCTCATCACTCTGCCCTCCTTCTTATCCTCGCTTTGTTGTCAAAGCATCCACCTCCATGCCAAGAATTCACAGAGAAAACCTTTAAACGAGCTATATATGATTTGTAGGACACTTTTTCCACGAAACAACTCGCCATGCCCAACAACAGAAAGCTTTATGTATTAAGAAGGGGTGCAGATCCAATGATGGAAATCTATAAGGTGGATAGCAGGAAGAACAACTGTGGAGAAGATAGAACCACAAACCTCATCAAAGAAAAGTATGCATGGTGTGCACGCCCTTGCACGGCTGGACAATGTTCGAACTGCCTTCTCACTTTCTTCAACCCATTTATTCAGAAGTTCAGGGCCCTAACCAGTTAACAAAGGCAATGAGAAACGAAACGGGTTCTCTCAAATTATGCAAAAACAGACGTTGAAATATTTGCTTCCGGGGACCAAAATAAAAATAACACACACCTTAACTTGAATGAAGTTAGCTCCTGCCTCATTTGCAACGGCCTTGGCTATCAGTGTTTTACCGCATCCTGGAGGCCCATAGAGCAGAAAACCCGTCTCTAGATTCATTCCGAATTCCTGAAAGCACAAACACAGAGACAGGAGGAGATAAGAGAGGCAGAGTGAGAGATGAAAAACAAAACACTAAAAAAATAAAAAAATAAAGTGCAGATAGATACTGATTACCTTATAGATGTCAGGATACTTCATACGATTAACTATATGAAGGTTAAATTCGTGCCTTAAAGTATCTAGACCGCCAACATCTTCCCATTTCACATTAGGGACTACAGAGAATCCTTCTCTTCTTAAGGAAGGCTGAACCTCTTGAATTGCTTTCTGCAGAATATCACATAATTAACACTCATTACCTTTACAAACATTTTAACTTTTTTTTTGTTGGAAAATTTGGGGCTTGAGATAATTAAATTATTTCAGAAAAGAAATTGGCAAATTCATCTATTACACAGCATACTAAAAGCAACATGCATAAATAAATTTCAGATAACCTCAAAATCAGCCACAGTGATGGCGAGCTTTTCTTTTTCTTTCTCAACCCAATCTTCATTGTAATTCGCCTCGTTCATAGAAGCAATTGACATATTAGGATATCTCTCTGCTAGTATCCTTTTCCTGGCAATATCAGAAGCTCTGTCAGCCACAGCTCTCAAATCAGCTCCAACATGCCCTGATGTAGACCGAGCTATTTTAACAAGATCAAGAGGACCTTCAAGGCCTAAATTGCTCGTAACCACCTTAAGCATCTCAACCCTGTCACTTTCATCTGGAACGTCGAAAGAAATCTCAAGATCAAATCGCCCGGGCCTCCTCAGAGCGGGGTCAAGAGCATCAGGTCCATTGGTAGCTGCTATTACAAGAACATTGTGCGATCTCTGTTCGTCCATGCAAGTCAGCAGTTGTTCCAATTCCGTTACATAACGTGAGTCCTCTCTTCTTGAAGCAATAGAATCAATTTCGTCGATGAACACAATTGAAGGCGCCGTTTCATACGCTTCGGAAAAAAGCTTTCGTATATTCCTTTCAGATTCACCTAGTGCATGTGAAACATAGACGAGGTAATGAAGAGTGCATCATAAAGACTATTTTGAACAATTGCATTAAGCATTGAGGAGGCTTGTAAGTTGTATGCATGCAAATTTTAATGGATACAAAGATTAAAAGATGAATGCGTTCGTACGTACCATAGTAACTATTGATGAGGCTTGGGGCAGAAACGTTATGAAAGGAAAAGCCGGTTTCATTGGCAATGGCGCGACCCAGTTGGGTCTTCCCACAGCCTGGTGGTCCATGCAAGAGAATTCCAGATATGGGGTTGCCTCCGAGCGACTTTGTCAGCTTCGGAAACCGAAGCCCGCAAATCACGTCTTCCAGCTGCTCTAGCACCTTCTTCATTCCACCTAGGTCCTTAAATCTCGGGCCTTTCACATCCCTTTTGGCCTCGTTACACTTGGCCTCTTTGGAGTCAGAGTCAGAGTCGCTGTTGGAGTCGGAGGGAGAGGTAGAGGCAGAGACAGAGACAGAGACAGAGATAGAGACAGAGGCGGAGGCAGAGGCAGGAGCGGAGGCAGAGCCAGAATAATCTCTGCTATGGTTAGCGAAAGGCTTTATCAAGGACTCCGAACGAATACGAAAAATTTGTGGTGAGCACGGCGCAGAATGGATGGATTTCATCCCTGAACTGCAGATTGCACCGTTCAAGAAATACGGTTTGGTTTGGTTCAGTGTTGGCCTCAAACCAGTGGAGAAACCAAACCAAAACCCATCCGCGTTTGGCAAGAGAAAGAGAAGGAGAGAGTCTCATAACAGATGCAAGTCCAGGAAATTACACTTTAAATATCAAAATCCCAGAATTTGAAACGACTTTCAATCAAATCCCAGCAATCGGTAACTTGCTCTGTTCAAGCTCATACTCTGTTTTCGAACCACAATTTAAATGTCAGGAGGCCCCTTATATAGTCTGGAGTTACAGCCAAAGTCGGTGCTTTCATAATTTTTTTTAATGCCTAATTGGAAAAGTAAAAATAGAAAAAAGAATAAGGAAAGTTATTTCGAAGCGTGCGTGTCTGGTTTCCCGCCAAATACAAGTGCTTATCCAACGGTCATATATGCTCCTCATCGGTAATAATAGAATCATCCAACAAAATCAACCTCACTCTTTTTGCTTTTTGGTTTTTCCAACGAAGCAGCCTGGTATGATATACGAGTAAAATCATTTCAGACTTTCGTTCCGTTGATTCTGGAATTCCGTTGCGTTCGTGCCAATGGTTTCCCGCCAGATTCAACTGCTCATTCAACGGTCAAGTTCTGCTGCTCATCTACTCCAACTCCACTCTCTCGTCCTTAAAACCGGTCTCGATCACAACCCCAACTTCGTCTCTCACTACATATATACTGCCTGCTCAATTTCGGTCGAATTTTCCAAACTGGTCTTTGATCATATACCCATTAAGCCTCCGCTCTTTGCTTGGAATTCAATTATCAGAGCCTTTACAAACAGCTCAAATCCACTTGAATCGCTCAACTTCTTCTTTCATCTTCACAGAATTGGGCTTAAACCCGACAATTTTACGTACCCTTTTGTTTTGAAAGCATGCGGTCGATGTTCCATTATTGGAGTAGGTGGGCCTGTGCATTCTTTGATTCTCAAGGTGGGTTTTGATTCGGACCGGTATATACGGAATACCCTTTTGAGGATGTATGCTGCTTGTGGCGTAATCGGGCTTGCAAGGCGGGTGTTTGATGAAATGACTGTTAGAGATGTGGTTTCTTGGAGCTCTATGATTGCAGGATATGTAGCATGGTATGCGCCTTCTTTGTTCAAATTGTTTAACCTTTTCTCTTTTTGTTGCATCACTGTGCAATTTGGAGCATGTAGTTTCTGGCATTCTTATGCACCAGTTATTACTTGAAAGATGTTTTATGGCAGTACATAGAACCAAATACTAGATAAGAACCAAAAATGGATTTCTGACATTTGCATTTGTTTTTAAGTTCTATCTGATTTTATGTTAACTAGTTAGTCATTCTTTATGCTCTACCAAAATAACCTTTCCTAAACACAGGTATATTATTACTCATATTCGTTTTTCTTCTTTTGTTTTCAGCAATTGTCCCTTCGATGCCTTTAAAGTTTTTCAAGACATGAAACTAGCGAATGAAAACCCAAATTCAGTCACTTTGATAAGCTTGCTTTCTGCCTGTACCCGCCTACTTAATTTTAGAGCAGGAGAGTCCATTCATTGCTACATTGTTGTCAATTGCATTGGGATAGATGTTGCTTTGGGGACAGCTCTCCTTGAGATGTATTCTAAGTGTGGGCACGTTGAGAAAGCCTTCCAAGTTTTCAATTCAATGAGTGAGAAGAATTTGCAGTCTTGGACAATTATGATCTCTGGTCTTGCCGATCATGGTCATGGAAAGGATGCTATCTCATTGTTTACCCACATGGAACAAACTGGGCTGGTACCAGACAGCATGTCATTTTCTGCCATCTTGTCAGCTTGTAGCCATTTGGGCCTCGTACATAAAGGTCAACAATTTTTCAATCAGATGGTGAGAACGTATGGTATTCGGCCAACATTGGAACATTATGGATGCTTAGTAGATTTGCTTGGAAGAGCTGGTCTGATTGAAGAAGCTTATGAGATTATCAAAAATATGCCAATGGAGCCTAACTCTGTTATACTGAGGAGCTTCTTGGGTGCTTGTAGGAACCATGGCGTGGCTATTACTTTAGATGATAAACTCAGGAAACTCCTTATATCAGAGCCTAACCTGGGAGCTAACTATGTACTTGCTGCTAGTGTATCTTCTCTTTCTGGTTGTTGGAATGATGCTGCTGATCTACGAGTAGCCATGAAACAGAATGGTTTGGTAAAGGTTCCCGGGTGCAGTTGGGTGGAGGTAGGTGGTGGTGGTTCTACTACAGCTACTATAAACGAGCCTCTAGTGTAAGTTTCGTTTCCAGGAGGCTAAAGTTAGAATGTTTGCAGAGAGGGGATGGACAGAATGGCCATGAGGAAAGAAAGGACCCTGAGGAAAGCTGGATAAGGATGACTGGTCAGGAAAGGTAATAAAGTGATAGAGCATCCAAATTTGGAATTGGAAGGTGAGAAGTGTTAACTGGTGATTATTAGGATTTGATTCTTTATTCTAGTTTCTTTGAATAGTGTTGGAGTCCCGACCAGAAAATCGAGCTTTGTTGGTGCTTATGAGAATTTCCCTGATTGTCAAGAGCAGATTGAGACATCGCAACTAAACTTTTTCCTAGATGCCGCTGTAAATTTCAGTTAGGAGTGGATGCATTTCTGTGAGATTTTCATCTGGGGAATGAACATGAGGCTTGCAGAATGTGCAAGAACTGGTATTTAAAAATATAGGACTTTGCTTCCTGATCTGCAAGTAGTCATAGGAGATTGCTTCTAATTCATTCAGCCTCCGGACTGCAAACTCTCTGACTTATGAACAAAGAAAAATACTTCTAGTTATAAATTGTGGAAGTTCACACTAATCGTAGAGCACAGAGTTGCTGATCTATTCATTTCATGCATGATGCATTCTGATAAATTCTGCATTGTCAAGTTGCTTAATGTGTCCCCTTTATGCCAAGCACAAGTTTGCTTTGTGTGCATCACCAGCAGTGGTAGTCCATACTTGAGTTGCTCAAGTTACCATTATTACTCCTTGGGGTAATTTCAACCATTTGTAGCATTGGATTACCTGCCCCTGTGTGAGAATTATGGTGGGAACCGAAAGTGTTTTTGACAGTGACATTTTTTATGAACAACTCTAAATATTACCGATTATAATTTTGGCAAAATCCATTTGAGATTCTTGTGAAATCCCATCATTGCCCTCACTTTCCATGGTGAGTAGCTCAATTCATGATCACATGCTTCCACATGGGAGGGTTAAATTCCAACTTAAACTCGGTAAATTGTTCCCTCTGTTATAAAAGGCAAAATGGAACAAAAGTTTCAAAAAGGAGACATATATGGGCCTTTTACTTGTACGCCTTTGCATACCCCCACTCACTCCGCAAGTTTCACTCTCTGAACACTAAGCTTCTTGCTCATGGCTTCAGCTCCCAAATCAAGTTCTTGGTTTTTCTATCTCTCAGAAAATTGGCTCCCAATGGCTACTATGATACTCATTTGTGGGTTTGTAGGTTACGTGGTTTACGACGCTGTAATGGCCACAGTATCCGAGCTGCTGCAACGTTTGCTGGTAATTTCTCCTTTGCTTATAGTCATTGTAGTTCATTGGCTCTCCACAGGCGGCCAAGTTAGCATTAGCATTCCAGGGTCAGAGCCTGGAGCCATCCACAGAGCTGGAGGCTCACCTTGGGGTGTGGCCCTTGTACTATTTCTGCTTTTCTTTCTCATTTCTTACCAACCTTCCTTGCATGGTCTTTTTTTCTAGCTTAATGGATGTCTCTCTGTCTCTCTGTTCAGAGGACAAGTACGAATATGTAATGTTATGCTGCTTCTCCTTCATGTGATTTGACTTTCATTTGATGGCTATCCTTTTTCTATGGAATATGAATGAAATCATATATTGTATGTATCTATGCAAATTACCACTCTTGCTGCTTCCCTAAAAGCAGGATCTGACGTCCATGGATGCCTCCTGAGAGAACAGAAAACAAAACAAAAAACATTTGGAGATGAATTATTTTGATACTTTCCTTGGTTTAATTTTCTGCATTTTTTTGGGGGATCATTATTACTTTATTGATATCCTTGTCATTCTTACCAACAAAACAAACTCAAACCCCTTCCCAAGGAAGCAAGCAATTGACAAAACAGAAAAGAAATTAGCCAATTGCTGACTAGTCGAATGGGAGCGAGGGCAACTGTGCAAATGGACCACTACCTAATTAGAAACCTAGGCTGTTAATCCTCCACCACTAATCGAGTTCCATTAAGTCAAGTGTAGGCCTCGTCCCCACTAGTGAAGTATCCTCTAAACAGAGGATATGGTCCATGGCTATTCTGATTATGTACATTTCTACAGTCAGATTTAATATCCAAATTAATACCCAAAATTGTTTTGTTTAATTTCTGTACTTCTCAATATTAAGGCAGTGGTTGGAAATGATGTATCATATTGCCGTTATTGGCATTTGAATTGAGCTCTGATGCTCTGAATACTGATGCTAATGGCACACTGCTGCTATTTATTTATGGGCAAGTTGCACTCGGCATCCCTTTGGTTCGGGTTTGTTACATTTTGATCCTTATTTTTAAGCTTTTTTACGAAGGACCCAATGGGATCATTTTTTGCTTACATAGACGCCAATTTAGTGCTACATGGATTAAGCAATGTCATATTGACAACAAATAAGAAGTTTTTTAAAAGAGAATAATCTAACCTTGTAGATATAGAGAGAGAGGAATGAAAAATGGCTTACATGCCATCAATCTTATGTACATGTAAGTAACAAAATGAATTCACAGAAAGCCACACCAAAAAAAAAGAAAAAAAACGTGTAACTTGATAGTTTGACGCACAAAGGAGCTAGTTGTGATACATTTTAGTGGATGGTTTTGCCAACTCTTTAAACTGACCTTATGTGGTGTCGTACCCGTCGGACCTGACCTTCCATACGGCTCCCGTGGGCGGTGGGACTGCATCCTTCAGGCCAAAAGTCACGTGCTACTGACGCCTCTGACACGTGCTCTAAGGACACTAGGTCATCTGGCTGATTGTGTCCTATTGTCCCTTATTATATATTGGGAAGAGAAGTGCTTAATTACTTGCACTCATCAATTTATTATTCATTGTTTCAACCAAGAAAGAATAAAAAAAAAAAAAAAAAACTCTTTATCTTTTGGTCCAACTAATTTATTAATTCTCTCGTCATCATCAGAAGTATAAAAGTAGTATGGGGGGTTCCACCACATGAACCCCATTTGAATTTTGAGTGAGATCTTTCTGTTACAACTTACAAGAGTGCTTTTACACTTTAATTATTTTGAGAAAGTGCTTGAAACTCCTAATAACTGAAATTTTAGTAAATAAAACCCTAAACCATGCAAATTGCAATAATTAATATTGGGGTTGTTTGTTTTAAGTAGAGTGTAGCTGTCTGCCAATTTCTTCCAACTGGTTTTATTTGGGGATATGGTGATGTTGGACAATCTTTAGCACCAGATAGTAGATACCAATTTCAACTACATCCCAAGAAATGGAGCCAAATTGTACCTCTCATTTGCTGTCAGTTAGCTTTTCAAGGTCGTAAGTTTTATGATACATTTTCTTATGGACGTAACCATGGGTAATGTTATTATATTTTCCATGATTAATCACAGCCATGATTAATGGCTCAAATTTTAATACTTAATTGTAAAAGGTTTTCTCATCTTAAATGGGAGGCCACCACTAAGTTTTTTTAATACAAGCGATAGTCTAAACTAAAGGAGAGGAGTTTTCTCACACATATAACACAACTGATACCATGAGCTAGTCCTCGTTGACGGCCAACACTAACTTAATTGTGAAATCTTCTGTATAATATCATTTAAATTTCCCATGTGTTATATGAAATATAAATGACTTTATTATCTTACAAATTACAATAACGTTTCCTAATGTACAGTTTGCCGCATAACCAACATATATGAGCTATAGTATTAGTGTGCCACAATCATAGAGAAAATTAGGCCTAAACCATATTTTAAAAAATGGAACAATATAATGCTTCATAAATATGTATTTATTCGGTAAGAACAAATCTATAGGATAAATATTATATGATTGGTCAGCATTCATGAATAACGAAATGGGTCTTGATAAAAATAAAATAAAAGAGTACTTCTTCATAAGTGGAATATCATAACACCAAGTTACATACAATTATCTCAACCCCCCCCCCCCAAAAAAAAGAAAAAAAAAAAAGTAGCTAGCTAGCTTGATTTGTATGCCAAAAAGAACAAGCAAATCCCAAGCTTTAGTACTATTACTACAAAATACCCATTTCATTGAAAATATATATTATGTATATACACCTAATAAATCACCATCATCATCTGCTTAGTAAGGGAAACCATCGTTCGTGGAAAGAAGACTGGTAAGAGATCATGATCAAGAGGAACACAAGCACAAGTCCAACACCCCACGGAGACCCTCCGGCCCTATGCAGCGAATCCTTCTCCGGAAAAGGCACAAAGAACGACAAGCCACCCGATAAGCAGTGGACGACGAGAAGAAGCAGCAGCGGAACAAGCATGAGGAAGAGTTTGACCTGAGTCATCAAATCCTCAAACATCGACTCGTAGTTGATGTACCATGTGAAGCCCAAGATGAAGACGAGGATGGAAATGAAGAAGCAAAGGTGGAGAGGGATGGAGAGGTAGTCCCAGTAAGAATAATAGTTGTAGTCCCTAGCCATGGTATCGTAGGGTTTTTGAAATTTGAAAGCTTCTTGTGCGACTGGTTTTTTCTAGAATGAACTTGTTTGATCGTCTTTGAGAAAAAGTTGTGCTGTGAACTTGGTTTATATAGAGAATATATCTATGAATTTTTGTTTTTTATTTTATTTTAATTTTCGTATTTTTGATTACTTACTCATGTATGCAAACTTGGTTTTTTTCTTTTTTTTTTTCTAAAGGGTTTGTGCAACTTTTTCTTTTTTGGCTCTCTTTACTTGCATTATAGGGATTCTTCTTTTTGCTTGCAGATCCATCGGGATAATTCCAAGTGACGGTGAGAATAGTCCATGGTTAAGATTCGTTAATTGAGCTGTCAACCAATGAGGACTTGCCACGTACGACCGACCATGGACAGGAATATGGGCAGATGAGAGGAATAATAATATTGAACAGAAAAAAAATAAAAGGGTAGGATTTATTTTGTAGTGCAGGCAAAAGTCGCAAAAAGAACAATATTATTGGGAAAGTCGTGCCTAGAATGGTGTGGTCCAAGTCACCTTTGCATGCTTTATGTACATTTTAAGCTGCTAAAGGAAATTAAATATTGAAAGGGGATATGCATATTTCTGGTTTTTAACCAACTGCCTGCTTCAATTTGGGTACATGAAATCATCACCACCATCTGCATGCATGTATGTATGATCTAAATTGGATATGTAGAAGAAAAAAAAATTAACCGCAGTGATTTTTTTCTGAATTTATACCCGAATTTTATTTTCGTGTTATTGTATTTTAGTATGCAAAGTGGAGTAGATGAATATCAATATGACATAAGCATTTGTTATGGCCGTGAAAGAAAGTCTAGACTTGTCCAATGCTTAAAAACCACACATGCACAAGCAAGCTGCTTAAACCTCATCCATATATAATTGGGGTTTATCTGCTCAAACCTGGTTTATGGCTTGAAACAAATTTGGGATAGGGTCCCACAGGATACCAAGAAATTTGAAATTATTTGGCACTTGGCAGCATCATTATTAGTGATGACCAAAACGTGTCCCATTAAGCATCAGCATGAATATGGAAATGATTAGATGATTGATTAACCCATCTAATGACTTTTTTGACACTAGATTTCCATTTTCTGTCTGACTTTTATTTAGTATTCTCTTTTTTCTTTTTGGGGGTAAATTTTGACCTCATTTGTTGTATTATCTGTTTGGGTTCGAGTTCATTTGCCCTCATGCTGATGTGGGTTTGCAAAATGGTAGTGCTTTATGACACGCTTAATTCAACTGTAAATATTTTCAAAACTAGGATGCTAATAATATTAGAAGGCCACACAATTGGTGCCTCCCGTGGCCCACGCTTTGTATTGGTATATGCGGTTAATTACAAATCCCACATCGACATAGTAGGCTGCTCATGAAAGCTTTACATACGTTGCCTGCGCAATTAGGCTTGTCCCCTTCGGGGACATCCGATAAAATTGGAACGATACAGAGAAGATTAGCATGGCCCCTGCGCAAGGATGACACGCATAAATCGAGAAATGGTCCAAATTTTTTTTTAATTGATTTCCTTCACTTTCGTTTGAAGCAAATTCACACTATCTTTCTCTTTGTCCTCCATTGTAAGTAAATTTCAAGCTTTTCGGATCTTGTTTTGCCTTTCTTTGTTAAATAATCCAGTTGGTAGTGAATCTATTTCAAATTTCTTTGTTAATAACTCAGTTGGTAGTGAATCTATTTCAAATTTTCATCGTGTACATGGTAACACAATTTAAAGGAAGACAAAATAGAGAGCTTATGGGTTAAGGTAGCTATTTGGTCCGACATACAAACATTTTCTTGGCTCCTCTATTGCAAAGGTTTCTATAGAGACCAAAGGTTATGTAGTGAATGAGTTGTGCCTCAAATTTGGTCAATATGGAACAAGAAGCTACAAGCAACACCAAGGAACACCTTATTAGGCCCCGTTCGGGATTGCTTTTTTTGGCCAAAAACCTGCTTCACTTTAAAGTTAAGCAGTTTAAGGTGTTTGGTAAAAATAAAATATCCCGATTATTTTAAAAGCAGTGACCTTTTGACAGCAGCTTTTAAAAGCAGACTCTGGGTTGCTTTTCAAAGCTGCTTTCAAAAGAAGCAGAGATGAA